ACTGCTCCATCTGGGACTTCTCCCATAGACAAGGATTTTGCTGGCAGATTTTTAGCCGAACCAATCAGAGAAGAGAACGACTATTTTCTGCGCAGTGTCTGCTTGTAGTTTATTTTACCTGGGCCAATCAGCAAACAGAAGGCGGAGTTTTAAACGACGTCGATTTTATGCGCAGTGTCTGCTAGTTAGTTTAACATTCAGCAGCGGAGGAAGTGAATGAAGCCAGTCTTCCAAATTAAAATAAAATTGACAAAGCAGCAGCTCTCATTGACAGTCGTCTCGTTCGGCTCAGTACTTCCCTCCTCTCAGTAGGGTTGTTTACAGCACACGCGATTTCCGGTTAGCTTCTTAGCTTAGCCTCCTTCACAGTGACACTTCAGCAGAGGCCACGCCTCCAGCAAGAATCACTTCTCTATAGCCGTGAGTCCAGACCCTCGTACGAAGCAAAGTGAAGGACAAGGATCTGGTTTTTTACCAGGCTACTGAGAGATATTACCAAGCTGAAACGTCTTGTAAGAGCCTCTGTACTCGCTCCGCTTCTCTTTATTTCATACAACAAAACACAATGCTCGTATGAAAGTTATTGACTACATCAAGCATTGTTGTGAAGATTTGCTGAAGTGGGAGTGTCTGAAATGGAAGGATGTATTTAACGAGACAGAGGTCAYTTTCAAAGAATTTAGATACACTGTGATATGCAAAGTCAATTTTATTTGTGATATATACATAGGCCTGTCACGATAACAAATTTTGCTGGGCGATTAATTGTCTCAAAATTTATTGCGATAAACGATAATATTGCCTGGTGACCGTTTTACAACTAATAATTATAAAAGCGTAATGTGTAAGTGTAATAAATCAATAAACTTTCATTTTTAAAAGAATGTTTAACAAAGTGGACTCTCAGTCTCTAACAAAAAAATGCACTTGAATAAAAAAAAACAACAAAGAACAACAAAATGTAAATTAAACACCACACACAACTAAGACAGTAAATAAACAATATTAAAGAACAGCATCTCTTTAGAGATGAAGCAAATTACACAGCCTGGTGAGGACCCACTGTTTCTTATGGGGACATAAGCCCAGTTCACATCCCATGTAAAGTTTAAGGCTAGGTTTAAGGTCAAATGGTAATAGAAAATACTGGTAAATGAATGAAAGTCAATGCAAAGTCCCCATGAGGATAGAAGAACAAACGTGTCTGTGTGTGTGTGTGTGAGGAGGGGACAGTCAGAGCGCTGCGGGGGAGGAAATCAGACAGTTCAGAGGTTTCCTCATGAGTTGTTGGGACAGCCACTGGTTTTTTGGGTGTTTTGTTAAAACACAGATGCTGCGTTTAAGTTTCCTGGTATTTTTGGGAGCTACAGGTAAAGTCTTGACGACTTTGTCGCGGGTCTGGGGGAGTTTCAGCCCCCACCCCTTCTCCTCCTTCTCTCTCTCTGTCTCTCTTTCTCTCTCTCTCTCACTCTGTCTCACTCCGTCTCTCTCTCCCTCTCTCCCTCCGCAGCGAAATCCAGGTTCTAGTTCTCCGACACTTCTGCAGCCGCGTTCTGCTTCGAAGCGTTTCTTTAGGAACTAGCTCTCACGCTAAAGCGAGAGTTGACTCCTCCCACACTAAGAAAACAGGAGGGGAGGGGTCAGCGGAGCTCCTGTGTTGCGGAGCAGAGAGGAGAGAGACGAAGTAAACAAACAAGCAGGAAAATGAAACTTATCGCCGTCTTTTTTTTACCGACCTCAAAAAAAGTTATCGTGCAATTAATTGATTTATTGACTATCGCGACAGGCCTATATATACAGTATTTTCATAATTGACAGTAATTAACTTGATTGTGATGTAGAGTGAAATATGTGTCTGGAAATGCGTAACACCCACCTTTTAAAATACATTTTGTCTGTCAGTCTCAGTTTTGTAGAGTTTTTTTGTTCTATTAAGAGCATCCTTTTAAACTAGTGTTGACAAGTAAGGATGCCTTTTTGACTAGGATGAATACTTGTATTGGTATCTGGAACGGTAATTACAGTTAGGAATGTGTTTTGATTATATGTTACAGGGGCCTGCCGCTGTAACACAGCGTCACATAAACCGTTTAGTTGCTGATGTATTCTTCACTTTTCAAATGGTGTGAGAGCTTGCCGTCTCAGTGTTTTTGTAATTACCGGGGGAAAAAGTGTTGGGTGTGCAATGTAAGAGTACGGCTATGTTAGGATTTTGTCCTGAATATGTCAGCGTAAAGAGACATGCAGAGAGGATGTAATGCTGAGCAGTCAAAGCCTGAAGATAGGAACTGCACTGACGTGCAGCAGGTTTCATTTATATCCATAACCTTTTGCGAAACAAGTCATTCTAGCTAAGATGTAACCTGAGGTCAGTTAGAGATAATGGTGGCTTGTGTCTGCTTGAGCTTTTCCCACTGCACTTATTGTCTTGGGTTACTTTGGTGACCTTTTGAATGGTGGGAGAATGAGGCTATGTTGGTTTGACAAAGGGCAAGCACACACTGGTTGAGTCGCTCCCATTAGCCCTGGTTACAAGTGTTGCAGGGCCTAGCAGACTCTTAGTCAGAGACTGCAAATACAAAAAGGGTCTTTACACCAGAGAGACAGAGGGCAGCCACTTTGGTTGTAATCTTTTAAAGTGTCTTTTGCACCGTATGGCTCCTATGATGTGACCAAAGATTCATTCACAAACGCTAGCAGCTAACATGGCCTGCTGTGTGTTTGCCAGATATTTCTTCAGTGTGGTTCTTGTCTCATTTTTCCCCTCATTTTCTTTATCCTTACCGCAGTATAGAGTATGACTCATGCCAAAATAAAATCACTGTTTATCTTGTTCACAGGAAAGATATAAAGAGATTTAATGAAAGTCGTCTTTTGCTGCATTTGAAGCTACAGTCATACACATCCTCCCTACCAAGGGATGCTCGTGTTTTTAAACGAACACTCTATACACAATAGCAACTAATTAAACCAGTTTAAAATTTTAGCATTTTTCATTTTGAAAACATTAAAGAAGATATAGACAATGAAATAATAATGCAAAAATTTTGAACTCAAAGAAGAAATAATAGCCTAAAGTGTTGAATGGTAGCATTGCGTACACGATAAAAAAAAAGGTACTTCCAGAGACAAAAGACTGAAGTCCAGAAGAAATGAGAAAATTCGGCTAGATTTGGCTTTTCAGCAAACTCCCTTCTTGGAAACTGTCAGTTGGGAAGTAGTGTGCTCTGGTGGTTATTAAATAAAATACACTCAACTGCACCAGTATGCAGTCACGAGGTCTCCCTGTTCAAAACACTGAATCTCCCATTGTGTCTGAAGTGTAGCTTATTGGTGTAAGAATGTGATCTAAATCACTGATTAGTCCTTATAGAATGATTTAATTAGATTAGTTTGTAAAAACATAATAAAGTACTGTATGAATGTGTGTGTGGATGGCTAAATGAGACCGCAGATGCATCTCAGTAATCACGGTACAAAAAAAGTTGATTAGGTCCTCTAGACCATAGCAGTATAGCACAAAGGAATGCGAGAAATGTCCTGATGCATCTCGGTAATCCAGGTAGAAAAATCAAAAAGAAAAAATAAGTAGGTCCTCTGGACGGGTTCTTRTTTAGTGAAACMTTTCATCTCTCCTCCAAGAGACTTCTTCAGTCTGAAGAGTTTCAGGTGAACTCAGCCTTCAAGCACTGCCTCCACATGGACAAACAGATTGGTCCATCAGAAAAACAGTTGTTGGTGCCTTGGTTAAATGGTACTGAACTTATATAAAGCTTTTAAGTCCTTCCAGACACCAAAGTGCTTCACATTGTCATTGACATATTCACACACTGATGATGGTAACTGAGATGATTAGGTCTATTGTTCATATAGGGTCATGTGTTCCATCACCTGACTATCATTGGGGCCCTGATTCACACCTTTTGCTCACAGGGGGCTGAGTCATACAGTACGTGCAATAACAGTGTTGTAGGAGGTGGACAACTGGACACGAAGGCCTCCACCTCTGTTTAATGGTGGATGGTTTTTCTTCACAAAAATGGCTTCCTTTACTCCTCTCTCAAACCAACGTTCCTCTCTATCAAGGACATCTTCATCCTTGAATGAGTGACCGCTGGCCTGTAGAGGAGTGTAAACTGCAGAGTCCTGACCTGATGATGTAGCTCGTCTGTGCTGGATCATTCTTTTGAACAGTGGCTGTTTTGTTTCCCCAATGTATGACTGATCACAGTCCTCCTGACACTTAACAGAATATACTATATTACTCTGTTTTTGCTGGGGAACTGGATCTTTGGGGTGAARTAACCTTTGTCTTACTGTGTTTTGGGGTTTGAAAGCCACTGGGACGTCAGTTTTAGAGAATAAATGTCTCAGTTTCTCTAAAACTCCCATAACATATGGAATGACCACTGGTTTGGGTCTGGATTTAGGGTCTTCATTTTCACCTGGTTGTTAGTAATTTGAAATTTTCTTTTTGAACATGAGAAATGCAAACTTTGTATGTTTAATTAGTCTTACTTGAAAAAAAACAACAACAAAACAAAATAAATTAAATAAATGAATAAATTGTATTAAAGCACAGTCAAAACAAATACAATTGTTCGATGTCCCAACTGATAAATCACCTTTATGGCTACTGTATTTACATGCACCTTTTAATTTAAAAGCTTGTGATAACTTTATTAACAAGTGTTAAAATGGGCTTTTGTGTTGCACTGAATTATTTTGTCTTAACACCTGCAGTAGATCAATAACTAACTAATAAGGCTCTCACTGAAACAGCTGTTTATAACAGAAGAGTTTAGTATAGTTTACCTGTATCTGGGGGAAATGTCTAATATACAAACTGCAGGCAGAAAACAGACCTATGGTTGTTTTTGCACATACGTTTTAAACAAAAAAATTTTATAGCCATATTTAAAATGCTTTGTTAAAAAAACAATACAGGAAATAAGTAAAAATTTCATACTGTAATGTGTTATGTTTTTTTTTTCCTTCAGTTTGTGGAGACAATCAGTAATAAGCAGACAGAACTAGAGACATTRATTGCTGAGGGATACAAGCAGGCTTTGTCAGAGGAGCGTCGCAGATACTGCTTCCTGGTGGATCGACAATGTGCTGTCGCCAAAAACAACAGCGCCTACCATGGAAAGGTAAGTCATTCTGCCACATCTCTAGATACCCGACAGTGTATTTTTTTTTTTTTGGAGAAAAAAAATCAAAAACTAACCTGTGGAAGAACACATCAATGAACAGAACATAATTGTTTTTTAGCAGTGTCAGTGTTTTTGACCCATACCAGGAATCCTATTGATAAAGTACAATTTACACATTCATAAACTTTATTTTTAAGCACATTATACAAAATCACAATGTTTTTACATAATATGCTTCCTCCCTATTCAATTTATTTGAAACGTGTCTGCTATGGAGCATTTATCAGGAAAAGGACTGAACACTCCTTTTACTTGATASATTACAGTTGACTCAAAAACTGGAAGCTGTCCTGGTTTTGTTTCTGCAACATTAACCCACATCATCAACCCTCCACCACCATGCTGGGTAGCTGGTTTGAAGAGGTTCTAGCTGATGTGTGTTATGGACTGTTGTTGAATGTACCTCTGGGTGTTTCTGTCTGCAGATTTTGTGGTTTGTTGTACAAAGCAGTGTCACGCTCAACAGTCTTTGACAGAGAACAGGCTTTCTTCTTGGAATCCATCTGAATACTTGGAATCAAACACGAATGAACTTGTTGAGACTATTTTTTTTGACTGTAGCATCATGAGCCTTTTATAGATCAACATGAATGGACGTCCATAAAATGTAGCTTAGTTTTCCTATTTTTTTCTTCTGTTTTCTCTAAGCATTTGGAAATTATTAATCAATTCACCCAAGAGTGAAGTTGATGTTACTTTCATAGAAAATTGGCCATTATTTTTTTATATTTATAGTTGTAAAAAGTTCTTCTCGCTGTTGATTGATGAACTTTAAATTGTTCTTAAATTCAGCACTAATTATTTATATTATAT